TAGGTCTGATCTCAGTTTACTGTTGGAACTACATTGCTCAGAAGTCTGGCTGTTTTTATATACCAGGCGGATGAAAATTCAGAATCTATTTTAGCACTCTAGTCTTTATAAAGATTTGTGTACCTGCTGTCAGGATTTTTTGGGCATTGGACTAAAGATTTTGTATGTTGTCTACTGAAAAGGAAAGGGTCACAATGCCTGTCTCCTCTTTTTGTGTACTGGATTTACAAGCAGTAACGTGTACAGTGTGGCCTTTGTGTTTGAGGTTCAGCGGGGGATCATGTGTAGCTCAAGAGTCATGATTTCTGTTGGGAAGTACATTAATAGGAGGGGGTGGAGAAAGCGTAAGTTTTGTTCACTATGAAAGAAAATGGAGGCACTGCTTTGTTTTAGTTGGCTTTTTTTTTCTTCTTTTTTTTTTTTTTTGAGTGTTTTTTTGGAAGAGGGGGGGGAGAGGGGGATTCAGTCTGAACAATTGAGTTCATCTGGTTTGTAGCCGAACGGCTGAGGCTATCATCTCTCTGAAGTCATTGTAGTGCCTGGGACTTGTTCTTTCTTCCACTACCTGTGTGCCAGACTGTGTAGTTTTTGTGTGTGGGTCAGTGTCTGAGAACGGGTGTCCCCGAGTTTGCCACCTTGTTCAGCAGAGCTTTGACCAGCCTGTGGGGAGGTCTCCAGCTGGGAACTTGCTCCCCGTCTGTACTGTAAAACATTACCCTGAACCTAGTGTTCCTCTCCTCTCTTCCGTCCTTGGAAATGGAGGACCCACTGTCATAGCTACTCAGTTCCAACTGACAGGGTATGTTGTATTTTTTTCTATGTACCTCTACAGAGTTGAGGAAAGTTGACATATTATAAGCCAAACTGTTGCCACGAATTGTTTGTTAGATGATGAGAAAGACCATTTGACCTTTGTGTATCAGAACACTAATCGCCTTAATGTCCTTTGTCTTCATGATGGGACCATTTTTGTTTAGACAAGGAAATAATTAGCCAAGGATTGACATGATCATTTTATTTTTTTGTTGAGTGTTGCCTGCTTCCTGTGCTAGACCTTGTCACTGGAGACTGCCCGTGAACCCCCATCAAATGTGTTCGATCCTTGTCTCTGTATGTAAATCAAATATGAGGGATGGTTTTATTATTTCATATCTTGTTCATGTCAGTCTTTCGACAAGATTTACTTCCCATGACTACTTACGGTATTATGTATGCGTGTGTGCCTTTCAATGAAATTAAGGTATCTGTTTCTGTCTTAAGTGGTCTGAAGGTTTTCTTTTTTTCATTGTATACATGTACTTTAAAATTCTGTTCAACTCTGCTCTCTTGAATTGTTGTAATTGCTGAGTCTTCTGTGGTTTTTAGCTTGGGTTCCAACTTCTATTATATTCTGATGAAAAAGACTGATATCTATTTTCACTCTTAGTGACCGTTATCTATGTCATCACATTTAATACTCTGAGGCATCAAGACTATTTCATGCCTGAAAGAAAGTGATGTACCACACTCACATCACTTGAAAGTGATATTACTATCCTGAATTGTTGTGATAAAACGTGAAGGGAGCTTATGCTGTGTAGTTTTGCTAGTGGTTAGTGTGAGACCTTACATATTCCACCGTATATTCTTCTTTTGAAATTGAAATCACAAAGCTATGCAATTAGGATTCTTGCTTTTTTGGCCAGTCAATTTGTCTGTTTTTTTGTTGTTTTTTTTAAATAGAGGATCATTGTCAATGCTACTTTGGGGGGAGGGGGTTATACTGTCTGAAACAGAATGACTTTGACACAAGCTTGTAGAGGAGAGGCACTTTCTTTATGCCTGGTAAACAGGAATCACCCGTTTGAGGTATTTCAGCTGTGAGGGAGAAGTGATTCAAGTATGCGGATATATTTTTAATGATTTGGAACACAGTTTTGGGCATGAATTTGTCCCATAACTGTGGTAAGTTTTAATTCAAGTGTGCCAAAATGTTTTAAATGATTAAAAGCACGGTCCTAGGCATGAAATTGTCCCGTAAATGTGGTAGTTTTAATGTTGCCTTGGCTGTGGTGACTACTGTGCCTTCTTGTGAAGAATGAGCACTGGAGAGGCATGAAATAAATTAACTGAGAGCCCTCACGCTTTGCAGTGTGGGGATATAATGTCCAATGTACTTCCATCCTCACTGAATGAAATTAACTTAATTAAGGAATGAAAACAGAAATCCATTATATTGGTCAAATGGGTGAAGGTATGTTCTTCCCTTTTACCCTTTGAGATGGTGTGAGCTTTTTGTTTTAAATTTGGGCTGCATGTTCAGTAAAGTAAAGAGAAAAAGTGATATATATATATATAATATGTTTACCATATATATCTTTCAGAAGCGGCCGAGTTTCAGTTCTTGGTTGTCTGTGAAATCAGAGGGGAGAGAGTGGTCTTTTCTCTTTTGAAGATAATGGTCTTTGATTTTGTATGGCTGTCTGATGGTGCATTTTTCTGGTGACAAATTTCTGATGAAAGCACAGAAGAGCATTCAGTCAAAAGAAATGAATTGAGTGTAGGTGCATGATGTGTAGAAGTAGCTGAGATAGGAACTGTCCTGTGAGCAGGAATAAAATTTGATCGTATTGTTGTTCTTTGCATAAAGTTTACTGGCGCGCGCCCCCTCCCCCCTCTTTTTAGAAAAATGTGAAAATGTTTCCCTTGTAGTCTAGCGTTCCTGGTGAAGGCTTGTGTTGTAATTTGGTGCAGGGTTGTTTTTTGTGTTTTTGTTGGGTTTTTTTTTCCTTTTCATGTCAAGCAGTTTTTATACATCCCATTTCATTAAGGATAAATATGTTTTAAGACTGGAGCGTGTGGCGAGTGCTGGTGAAGAAGAAGAGGCAATACTACTAATGAAAAACTGACTTGCTCACCGTGGACATGACTTTTGTTTGAAAAAAACTGTACATGCAATGTATTGTGTCATCCCTTCCTCCATGTTGTGATTGTGCAATGCAAATTTTCGCAGTACTGCCATACTGGGAAAATCTTAATGTAAAAGTATATATGCCTAATGATGTATCTTACGAAGAAAAGTAAAAGTGTTTATTTTATGAAACATTTTTGTCTGTAGATATAAAATAAAATGTACTGCAAAACCAGATTTTTTTTCATGTTGAATTTGTTTCTTTTTAATTATTTTTTTTTTCGGCGCTCGCCACTGGATATGGTCAAATGAGTGCACGGGACCCATTAAACATTTTTCAGTTGGTAGGAAATTTTGAATTTTGCCCGGGTGACGGCCAAAGCCTACTCTTATCAATTTTAGACCACCAAGGGATCCTTAACGTGCGCAACTGGCACACTGGACCTCCGAGAAGGCTGGGTGTAGATCTTTCCTACCAGAAGACCAGGGGTGTGGCTCAAAGACAGCAGTAAGAAGCCAAGGCGTAGCAGTAGATAGGCTGCAGAAAGAGTCATGATCCCAGAGGAGTGGGCAAAGGAGGTGAGGGGGTGGGGGCAGAAAGTGGAGACGAAAGCAGGCGACAGAACATTGCTGGAGTGCAGGAAAGGAGGTGGAAGGAGACAAGTTTAAAAGAGAAAATTTTTCGGTCGCTACCCAGATTTGAACCCGGGACCTTTGAATGAGAGGCGAACACCTCAACCTCTAGGCCACGAAAGCCCCCTTTGTTTCTTTATAAGCAGTGCCAGCGCATACGGTAGTCCTGTCTGTTCCATTACTCTGTGTGTGATTGTTTTATTTTGTGCAGAAGGATGGAAGGCGTCCCTGGTAGGTCCTTTTTTTCCCTCTGTTTAATGTCTGTCTTGCCTTGTGGGTGGTTGGCAGGTGCTCTTGTGTGGTGTGCTCCTTCTTTCCTATCAAACATCTATCATCCCCCCCGGGGCAGTACCACTGACTGAAGTGTCTTTAAGCCATTCCCAAAGGGGGGACATTTCTCGTTCAAGCATAGTAGAATTGTAAATGGGCTGACTCATGTCGCGCTCATAACTGTGCCTGATCTACAACAGGAAACTGCTGCTTTTTCTTTCCTGATCCTTACCATTGTCATTTTCCTCTACTTCTTTCGTATGTTTGTCACTCCTGTGACCTGCTATTTTGGGGTGCCTTGATAGTCGAAGCAGACCTTGTGCTGTTGAAGCTAGAGAGGTGAGCAGTCTTAAGTCTGATTCCCTGTAAAGACTTCTCTGTTGACACCAACCCATTGACGCTCATATGACCTTATGCAGTTGTGAGCGCCGTAAAACTCTCTACTATAAAAAAAAAACACCAAAAAAATCTAACATCCCGATCTCTCCTTTTTTAATGTTTGTTACTCTCTTGTAACACCTATCTTCGGCACTTATATGACCTTGTGTTACAAGTGTCATAAAACTCGTACATGTACTAAAACTAAAAATATTATTTTCTGCAGAAGGATGGAGGATGCCCCCGGTAGGTCCTACTTCTTTTTTTCCCTCTCTGTTTAAAATATCTGTCTTGCCTTTTCCCCAACAGCAAGTGGTCGTTATTGCGTCTGTATGCTTCTTCTTACTCAAGCTACACTGCTGGGACACAGTATCTCACCCACCCTCAGCTGACCTCTGCACAAAGGCAGGGTCGACGTAGCCCGTTCCCTAAATTATGTAAACTGTGTTCAAGTGTTGATAATGACATAAAACATATTTACAATAACCACTGCTGAAGTTACCCAACAGAAAGAAATGGAAAAAGCACCAAGACTACCAAAGCACAGTAAAATAAAAATAAATTACCAAGATAGTGAGATCAATACAGCATGACCAAAAGAAAATCTTTAGGTTGAGCAAGAGAAGCACACTCAAATTAATGAGGGACAAATTTGAGCAGGAATAAAAGTAGGATTGACCCGAAAAACAAGGAGAGTAGAAGAAAAGAAGTAAGACCCAAGCAGCTGTGCTTTTCAACCACCCGTTCCAGAAAATTCAAAAACAAACCAACCCCATCATATCGCCCATATCAGATAACATGTACTCAACAAAGAAAAAAAATCTTTCAGTTCAAGGCAAATCCATTTTTATTGCTGTCTCATTTACAACCAAGCTATCCAAACACATTCAACAAGAAATGGCAAGTCCATACAAATGTACAAGTCTCTCATCAGCACGCAGGTTCAAGTTAGAAGCAACAGTTGTACTATGAGCGCTATTCTCATTTGGCACAAAGAAAGAAGGTGAGAAATGAAAGTGATGGGGAAATGACGGACAGATGATGCGGGGGGGGGGTGGATGGGATGAGACATGATGAGCTAAAGAACCACAAGCACAGAGGAGATCAACCAACCAATCATTTACAATGGTCTGGCTTGTTTGCAATCCTTTTTTCTTTAGGGGGGGGGGGGGGGGTGTTTATAAACTTTTCACCATAGCATACTAAGCTTTCACCAATCACCAAGTGAGTGTGCCTCCAATAAAACAATTGCTCATAAATATATATTTTACTTCCACCATCATTTACAACATTTCCTGACAATATTATTTTCCCCGCCCAGTATATTTTCAGCAATATTTTCAGAAAATACATTCACATGGAAGGACTTTCATAAATCAGGGTGACTGCCAAACTAGACTCAACATTTCTCAAAGGTGTTATATGTTCAAACACACACGCTTAAAAAGTTAATAAAAGCAGGTTTCACACAACTCCGTTTTCCCTGTGATAATGAGGACTGACCTAACAGTACGATGATTATATCAATCACACTACTGTTGCTTGAACAAAAGTTTGCAGCCTCCCTCAACTACAGTCTCCTCTACATCTTTTTAAATAATAAAAAAAAACAACCCACTCCAGTACTACAAGGTACCACAACTGAAATTTCAAAGTCCTCTGATTTCATAGTTAACTGCACTACCTTATAGAATTTATCATTCTGAGCATTTTGATACTAAATTTATACATATAGCTTCATTTTCAACAAAGTTATGAACGTCTGAAGTTGCAGAAAAATGTTAGTTTTTTATATTGCGAAATGTCTACATTTTGAGATGTCACAACATTCTTAAATTTGAATTGACATTCACAAAAACTTGTAAACACACACCTATGCACATAGAGAACAAGCTCAATTTTTTTCAGGGCTATTAAATAACCAGAAGATGGAAATTTATTGACGTAAACATGGCTTTTTGACCAAAACGGCAAGAAACACAAGGGGAGCTTAAAATCCCCTCGCGACCGCCGGCTTATCGGCCGCGCGCCGGGCTGCGCTGAAGGGAAGTAGAGAGAATTTATACGAAAGCGGGGGCGATGGTGCTCTGCTTGCGAGCCGACGGGGAGCGTCCGGTGTTTATTTGCGTATAATGGCTGTGTTATTCTTGAAGAGGAATGAATGGGCTTTCTGCCGATATATTTCCGGTCAGTCCCATCACTGGTTCCATAAAAAAACAGCACCGAAAGTTTTCACACGCAAATCTCTTCTATTAATTCTTTAAGGACAGTCTTTAGAAATATATGACCGGAAAGAGCGTCTTCTCATCTTGAAATATCGACGAATCAGATTGCAGTATTTAATACCATACGCTCCCCGTTCCTGTTCAACCGAGGTCACTCAAAAAATCAATACACGAAACGTGCTGCCGCGACAGTGAAAACCTCGATAGTGTTGTCTTTTATCCCGCACGATTTTGCTTTCAAAAGAATCGTTGATTCAAATAAATAATACCACTAAAAAGAGGAAAAACTCCTCTTTCTTCTGATATATCAAGTGTCTGTGTGGTGTTTTAGGAGGGTAAAAATATGGGTTTTGGTCTCCTGACAGTGTGCCACGGGGGCGCACGGCCAGTTTGTGGTACCTAGTACTACAATCGTAACATTTTGTGCTTAGAAAGAATATGGGACCAGTCTACAGAAAAACAAAAAAATCACTCTCTTTCTCTGAGGACCATACATACAGAAAGAGACAGATTTCCCCCAAAAGTCCAACGCTTTGTCAGTCTTCGCTACTTCTTTCTTTCTCCACCGAAAATTCCTTTGGCCTGGCAGTCACTCTGATAAATACCCGTCAGATATCTTACTCTATTATCTAAGTAATTTCAACAAGTGACAACACAATTGTGCAGCATCCCAACAGTGTATCCCCTTCAGGACGGGCCAGCTCCATTGAGAGATGCTTTCACTTGCACAATCTGTGAACAGACATCAATGTAAATGTGAGTTGTTCTGTTCAAACACGTCAATGTAACTGTGAGTTGTTTCTTTATTTGTTTGACTAAAGAGACGCACATGGACACAATGACGAATATCTAGTGCTTCAATGGGTGGTTGGTGGGTGCCCTGGTGTGGTTTGCTTCTTCTTTCCTATCAAACATCAACCATCTTTATCTCCCCTCCTTTTTTGTATTTGTTACTCTCTTGTAACACCTCCAATCTTCGGCACTTATATGACCTTATTGTGTTGCAAGTGCCTAAAAAACTTGCGCTTGAAAAAAGTGAGACAGACAACAGCCTACCAGTGGTGGTGTTCTGTAACCACTCACATAATTGTGAAAAGCGAGAAGGAAAATGAAACAAAAGTGAGGCATCAAATGCTTTATATACAATGTAATCAAAAGTTTTCTAGCATGCCCACGAAAACTAAGGAAAATAACGAGTCTTCTAGCAAGCATGTCTGAAGCAAGAAAGAAAGAAATGAGTAAACTTGGGAGTACCAACACTGCAACAACAACAAAAAAGACGAAAAACAAAATAAATGACAATATCCGAGACTGAGAAAGCAGTATGATCTTCAACCGTGCCCACATAAAAAAAAGTGTAGTAAGAGAGGTTCCTATACAACACTAGAAACCTTTAACTCAATCCCCGGGAGTTTTCCCCAAAATTGTACCCACAAACCGATAATTTTGGCACATATGTAAGGACCCACTAGTAACCATATAAATATAATCCAATTGCTTTGAAATTTGGCACACTGTACAACCTATATTGCATCTGTAGACATACCCAATTAAAGTATGTAGCTTTTGTAGTTTTGCTTTGGGGTGCTGTACAAATTTGGCATTTTTGGGGCTTATAATTTTTTTTCCAAGGCCGAATGAGCAAGAGCAAGCCTAAATTGATATTCAAATATATGCTTGTGAGCGTCTAGATCTATAATATATTGTATGTCATGTATAATAAAGACTGCTGAATGCTTCCATGAATAAAAAAAATGTATGTGTGAGAAAAGCAGAGAAAGGCAGAGAGAATAGATTGCGAGACATGATCAGCTGATCAGTGTGAACAAAAGTGTTGAAAGTGCCTTTATAAAAACCGCCATTTCTACGTGTGTAATGACAGTAGAAACAAAATTCCAGCACCCCTCTAGGCAGAATTGGCCGCGGAAATAATAAATTGACCCTATATAAAACTTGAGGTCGTTTTACAAAACAAAATAACTAAGTATATAGAACAAAACTATAGAACCGAGTTATCTCAGTCGTGGGATTGAACGCAGCCCGCCAGCTGACCGAGATATCCTGGTAACGGGACACACAAAATAAAAAGTATTTCACAACTCATGTCAGAGATGATGGGGTAACTACTGTACCATGTAGAGGCTGTGTATTTGTTCTTTTTTATATCTGTAATTTTAACTGAATTTCTTCAACTTGCACCCTCAAGAGAAGAGAAGAGAAGTGCATTTACCAGCAAAGAATGAAGGTGTTTCAAAATGACGGTAAACTCTTATACACATTCCATCAGTTGACACATTTCATTTGTTTGTTTGAGTAAAGAGAAATACATCGACACAATAATGGTCATTTAACGCTGAAGAAAAAGTCAAAACAGACAAACAGAAAAAAAAGAGGGGAAGTAAAAAAGCAGGCCATACCAGTGACACCCTCCAACCACCCGCCATTGACAAAATTTGACAAGACCAAAAACAAACAAAAAACAAAAAACCCAACTAAAAGTGTACCTCTTCAACAACACCAGCAGCAATTGTGTGCCCACCAGTCCGCAACATGAACCGGCCCAGGTCTTTGTACTCAGAGTACAGCTCCAGGCACATAGAACGCTCAAGCTCAATCTCCACCACGGCACTACTGTTCTTCACCAGACACCTGAATCAGAGAACACACGAATGATTTGGGTACAGATATATATGAGAGCATCAGCTCGACATTGGAAGAGAAGACAGAAAACTGAAGAAAATTGTCAAAGGAAGAAGCTGCAAAGGAAAATTGTCAAAGGGACAGGCCGCAAAGGAGCATACATTAAATGTGGCCTGGTGGTTAGGCTCTCAGACTCGCAACCGCAACGTCGTGTGTTCAAATCCTGTTAGGGGCCCGACATTGTGCCCTTGGGAAAGGCACTTTACACACAAATTTTCCTCACTTCACCCAGGTGGGGATGGGTACCCAGCTATACACAGTGAAAGATCTTGTAAGTTTGTTAGTGATTGAGTGCTTAATCAGCTGCTTGCACTGTATGCTTCCCGGGAAGCTGAGAATGTTTATGAGTGTTCTATGGTCTGCTGGGGTAACTAATATAGTGTAAAACGCTTATATATATACATGTCAGGTACCAGAAACTAAATTTTCGAAGTAGCTGTATGCCAAATTTATCTGTTCCATTTGAAAGGCCTATATCCACTGAGCATTTTGGTACCATTCTTTAACCTCTCAGTCAATTTTTAAGAAAATGATAGTTGTTTAAAATTTGATCAAATTTGTTAAAGTCAGTCACTGGCTGCAACCCCATGTTTTATAGACAATAAAAGAGTACCAAGTGCACTAAACATCTTCACATTAACAGAGTACAATCACTCTTACAAATATATGGAGCCTAATTTTTTTCAAGACTGTGAGATCATTACAAATATGTATTTTATCACTTCAAACACGATGATCTGTCGTTATTTCGACAAAAACACCGAGCGTTGACCGGCCAGCGCCGCACCGGCCCCCCCGGTGAGCGAGTCGGCTTATACTGTAGTGTACCCCGCGTACGGGGTCACATGCTTTCTGAGTCTCGCGGAAGGATTGATGTAAAATAATTCCAAGCTGATTACTTTATTCTAATAGAAAATAAACTGATCTTTTCATTCATACCTTTTTTAAGCCGGTATTTTACATATTTTGGGTAAAAAGTGATCTTTAAACATTTTGACAGCATTTTTAAAGCTTTCTATTTAACACATTACACCCTAAGGGCCTGGACGGGAAGTCCATTGTTAGATCCTAAGCAAGGGGAAAGAACCCACCTCCCGTGAATACTACCCTTTAAAAAACACATTTTAAAAATACTAAACAAATTCCAAAAATCCTGAAAAAATAAAAGTTAAAAAGAAAACTGAATGTAGTTTCAGAAAAATATAACTTTATGTATGCGCAAACTGTTGGAAATGTAACTTTAGTTCAATCGGGGTGTCCGACCCGTCACTCTCACTCTCAGCCGGGCTCTAGATTTAAATTCTAGATTTTCTCCGTCTGATCAATCGGAATCGCCCCAAACTCTTCCTACAACGTTTTCATCAAAATCTGAGCCATCTGATTTGTCACATGCTCGTTTTTGCTCAAATCCATCATCATTTCTGTTTTCGAACTCAATTGTGTCGCTTTTCAACAAGTCAAGACATTTTCGAACTGTCGGTAACGCGATCGCACTTCGATCAGCTCTAATACTAAAACTACTGGCCCGAAAAATTTCGTTTCGGTATCAAACGAAAGAAGAAACTTTTTGCTATACTATGCAAATCAAAATCCCGGCCCCGGAGTCTCGCTAAAGACGCTGGATCAGCACGGGCGGTTCCGGGCGAGTCCGGGTGGAGCTTGTAAGGGAATTCCCGGGCGATCCCGGGTGAGTTAGGGTGTAATGTGTTAAGCGACAAAGGCCAAATATATACCACAGGAAAGCCCGTTTAAAGCGCTAGTTTTCCACCAATGAAAAGACAGTATTTAATCATCGCTCATTCCGCGAAGCATTTGAATACACGCGTGTCAATTTTTGAACAGGCCAACCACGCATTCCGACCGCGAGGGGCTTTGCTTTCTTCGGCAATTCTCCAGCTTCTAATAATCGGACATATAAACAACTTACACCATTGTAACGAGGAAAAGCTGAACTTTTACATGGTGTACGGCATTTGGTGTTTTATAGCGAAAGAGCAAAGAAACAGCAATCGGAATTACCCCGATACCACGCAGTCGGAAGGCTGCGAGTGCCAGTGAGGCCGTGTTTACGCTACCTAATACATGTACAACAAATGTGCAAAATATGAGTAAAAAAAAATTCTTTTATCTAGTCACTGCTGTAAAACATTACCCTTTAGAACCATTCTCCTGCCCCCTTAACACATTACACCCTAAGGGCCTGGAAAATTTCGTTTCGGTATCAAATGAAAGAAGAAACTTTTTGCTATACTATGCAAATCAAAATCCCGGCCCCAGAGTCTCGTCAAGGCGAGACTTTCGTTTCTAAAGACACTGGGTCGGTGCGGGCGGTTCCGGGCGAGTCAGGGTGGAGCGTGTAAGGGAATTCCCGGGCGATCCCGGGCGATCCAGGGTGTAATGTGTTAAGTTGGAATAGCATCCACACAATATTGACACCAACATGGACAAAACTCTTGACACAAACCTCGGCTTTTTCTTGATGACCTCCCCTGTGCTTCGGTTGAGTTGACTGATCAGTCTCTTTATCACAGCTGGTTCATTGATGGACTGGTAATGAAATACAACCTGCAAACGAAAAACATCAAGTTTCAAACATTGTGAGCAAGTGCAAAGTGATGTATTATCCTTCCAAAATTGATAAGGCTACTTCTACAAGCAAATGCAAATTTTCTTCCAAAATGAGGAAGTTTACAAAGTACTAAAGGCGCATAGATAATATTACAGTTAGGGCGGCATTTACAAATTGAAACACTCCTAGATTCAGTACCAGTTGCAAAATCGATGGGAAAAAAGCCCAAAGCCATTGCTAACTTTTCTTTCTAGTTGATAACAATACAAAAAGAAAGCTGAGATTCAACCATTTCATTTCAGAGTGAACATAGGCTTTCACAATATCAGTTGAGAGCAACCTGCATCAAATCTAAAATAAGCATGTGTCACAAATATGGGCAAAGACTCACTGGAAAACCCTTTGTAATTGGGACCTCCATCGAAAAAAGAACAATTTTCGCCCTGATTCTTGTGGCACTTTTTGATGGAGCAGAAGGATCACAAAGTGCACTACCTGCAAATGAAAACCAAAAAAATCCCTTAAAAAATGCAATTAAAACCCTAACTTCTGATCAGTCATTTAGTGCACACACACAAAAAAAACAAAACAACAACATTTTTAAAATATAAATAAACGGAATCCCTACATGAGAAATTCAGCATTTTGCAAAAGCCAACCTGCCTGACTTACTCCTTTACAAATGTTCATATAGTCCTCAGTTGTTGTTTTTTAATCTACAATTCTGTAAAGAAACTATCTGTACTCAGGGGGTCTGTTTAAGCCGTGAAGAGAGAACAGCCATTTCTATGATTGTGTAGCAAATATTGTTTATTCCCCAATCAACACAATTTAGATCTCTTAGGAGTCAGGCTGCTTCATCCCGGCTAGTCAGGTCAAATGGGACCCAGCATCTCAGCAAACAGATGGAAACTCGTAGTAAAATAAAATTCCCAGTGCCAGCATCAAATTCACAACCTCTCCTTACAGCAGCAAAGAACCTAATCAATTCATCGAAGATGCAATTAAATCATCTCAGTAAAATAAAAATCTTACTTCACTCTCCTCGGAACACAAGTTTATGAGGAACAGCTTTCTTTGACTGGAATGTAAAGCTTGTGCAAGCAATATTGCAACATGCTTACCTATGTTGACATTAGCCATGTCCACTCCGCTCATGGTCAGATTCACATGGTCACCGGCAAAAGCAACAGAGGATGGGGAGTCATCAATGAACACATCTGACGAAAAGAAAAATTAAAACCACAATGAAATCTTCAACAAACATTTTTTTTTAATGACATGATTTTTAAGAGTTATAGTAAGAGTTTAACGGCGTTTATATGCCGAAGATTAGGACTGTTACAAGAGAGTAACAAACAAAAAAGGAGAGATAAGGACGATAGAATTTTGATAGGAAAGAAGGAGCAAACCACACCACAGCACCCGCCAATCACCCGCTGACAAAGGATAGATTTTCTTGATTTACAAAGATCCCACCACACACCAGAAGTCTGGAGAAACTAAAGTCTGGCAAAAGCTTATTTTAATTCTCTCTTTGAACAAGAGGAGCACATCGACATGATAACTTTCATTTAAGCATGGAAAGAGCAAGATCAACAGCAAGAGAGTAAAGAAAAAGCACCCACTGACCACGTGTGCAAAAGCTAATAATTTTTCAAACAAGCCCAAGCACAGCAGCAGACCTGGTCTAAAGGCCACTAGTCAATGACAATAACCTGTATAAACAACCACTTCCCTCTTTGTGTGGTTTTTTTCTTTATTATAATGACACTGTCCAAGACATCCACCTGCCAAAGACAACCACTTTTCTCCTTGACAATAGATGGCCATCATCGACAATTTTGACCGCATTATGAATAACCTCCTTCTAGACTGTTTATTTTTTATGAATTGTAGCTGTCTTACTGCAAAGCAATGTGAAATCTTTCCTCAACGGTCAAAAGCAGCAGGTGTGTATCTATGCCTACAGTGAGCTGGGAGTCTTACTTTTGATAGTCGCTGTGATCCCAGCCGGCAGGATGAGAACTTTGTCCCCGGGCTGCACATAACCAGAACCCACGCGGCCGGACACGTTGAAGCCTGTGCCGATTCCTTTGAACACATCCGACACATTCAGGCGAAACGGTTTGTCAATGGGTCTCTGAGGGGGGCGCAGTTTGTCTGAAATAAGAAAAGACATAACATGTGAGGCTCTAAAGGAGACTTGTTCCCCCATTTGCTCATTTCACATGAACTGCCCAACATCCTTACTGTCAAAAGAATTTTTTCAAACTAATCTTTATGTCTTTCTGACTTCATGCAAACTATACAAACCTTTTCTATTTGAAAAATTTTCAAGTTGAGCAACTTCAAAGGAAAGTAGAAAATTTTGTAAACTCAACATGTGTAAGTAACTTGCATACTATGCTTCGACAAAGGTGACAGGAGTGTATTGGCCCTTCAAAAGGGTAGGCTACAACAATTAAAAAGTGTTTTGAACTTTATTATTTTCTTTTTTTTACATTACCATTTTCTCTGAACTGGCAAATAACAAACTGATTTTAATTTGTAGTCTTCATTTGGGATAAAAAATGAAATAATATCAAAGTCCTCAACTGACAAGCACTGTTCCAATTGTGATAACGAATAAAATAAATACCCAGTCCTCAACCTACCAGTCTTTTCCATTCATCATAATAAATTAAATAACATCCCAGTCTTCAACCCACTAATCCATTCCATTCATGATAATGAAGTAACATCCCAGTTTTCAACCTACCAGTCTTTTCCCATCATTATAATAAATTAAATAGCACCCATTCTTCGTGTGTGTGTGTGTGTGTGTGTGTGTGTGTGTGTGTGTGTGAGCGTGTGCGTGTGTGTGTGTGTGTACTCGTGGTGGAACACCAAACCAATGTGCCAGGATCTGGACAATAAAGATGTATCTTATCTTATCTTATCTTATTCTTCAACCCACTAATCCGTTCCATTTATAGTAATGAAAGAAGTAACAACTGTTCCATTCATCGAAATAAATGAAATAACACCCTTGTATCCAACCCACCAACGCGTTCCATTTATGACCATGAACCAAGTAGCGTCCCAGTCCTCCACCTACCGATCTGTTCCATGAGGGGGACTGCCGGCTGGTACCACGCGGTCAGCTTAGGTTCTGTCGCTGGCTTCACCAGGTTCTCCCCGCTGAGTCCGCTGCAGGGGATGAAGGAGACGTCCGTATCTTTGAAGCCTGCTTGTTTGGAGAGAAACTGACCAATCTTCTTCGTGATAAGACGGTAGCGCTCCTCATTCCATTCCACTGTGTCCATCTTGTTCACAGCTACAATGATCTGGCCCACACCTAAAAGGAAGTATGGAAGTCCACATTACATTCTTCCTTTCTCTTTTTTTAATGACCATTCAGAAATAAATGACTCATTCTACTAAAGACCGATTTAATAATGCAGAAACTTGGCTAACAAGAGCACAAGTAAATTTCTAAATTGTTAAAGAATAAGGACGAAAAGGTTTAACTATTCTGAAATCACAAAAAATGCATATTTTTACACAATTTCAAAGCATACTGCAATTGGGTATACTTTTCCCCCTCAAATTTACTGTCAACCAGAGTTCTATTTATGGCAAAATGAGACAGCTCTTTGAGCCAGAATGAAAAAACAAAAAGTACATCATACAAAATGCAATAAACATTTGAACTAAACCCGGAAAGGCACTGTTATGTGTGAGGCAGCATGGTGAAATCAGGCACTCGCACTCGTCAAAATAATGAAATTGAAGAAATCGACATTTTTCTGCCAGTTTGGCAATTTTAAAATCAAATTTGTGTTTTTTTACTCAAAACCTTGTAAGTCTATATATAAATATGTTTCCGTGTGAATTTTACTGAAAAACGTTGATTAAAACCACAAAATAAGTCATTTTTCAGTTTTCAAGGAACCTCAAGCTATTGAAAATTCCAAACTTTGGCGGCTATTTTCTCGTTAATTTTATTACGAAAATCGGGTGACCCCAACTTCAATCACAAGCATCTTGATTTTTATTCAAGACAGATGGGTACTTTTTTCATTGACAGCAAGGCAAATGAATAAGCTTTCAGATGATACCAATAACTCCACATGCCCAAAAATTGACGAACACCTGATTTCACCGCATCGTGACACATATATATGTGACTCTTTTCACCGTAACATTTTTTCAAAGCAACTGAATGCAGTCCCCAAAGGTTTCTTCTTGCCCAAAGAAGAAGGACAACAGGAGAGGAAAAGGTAAAAAAAATACTTCTACGGTCAGAATTGTTCACTCCATCTTAGAGCCCTTGAAACTATCCAAGTACCATACTACAGCAGTACGTAACAGTACAAATATTTAAGACTAATTCGAAATAAACTAAAACTGGAAATATCACAGCTCCCAAAGCTTTCTTTAGAAATTGTTCAGTCAAAAACCCCCAAACAACCCCCCCCCCCCCCCAATACAAATGTTGTAATGTTGTACAATGGCTTCTTCCACTCACCCAAAGACCTGGCAAGCAGAGCGTGTTCCCTGGTCTGACCACCGGCGTCAAAGCCAGTCTCAAACTCCCCTCTTGTTGCGTTAATCACCAGGATGCCAACGTCGGCTTGTGCAGCACCTATAGCAATAAATGGGACAGTGACAGACGGAAACATTGTGCCTTGCGTCAGGTTACATAGCCATATTCTGACCCCCCTAAAAAAAAAAAGCATATTGCTTCATTGGGCAACTAAAGCTTTAAAAAAATGTTTTTGTTGTTGCTTTTTCTCATTTCATTTTGTTTTGCTACGAGTTTTGGGTGTATTTTTTATGAAGTTTTTTTTTTTTTTTTTTTGGGGGGGGGGGGGGGGGCAGGATCCATGGCTAACTTGTGTTCCTAAAAAGTCACCATGTAATTCGTAAGAACTCCAAGACCTTTCTGGTCTTGCTAGTAACTGCATTATCTTAAAAAGAATATGGCTAAGAAATATCACAACCACGGGAAGCTAAATTTTTTTTTAAAGCAGAGGCATAAGTGGAGTAGCTTACCCGTTATCATATTTGGGATGAAATCTCTGTGTCCTGGGGCGTCCAGCAATGTGATTACTTTCTTGTCCGTTTCAAATCTCGTCTGAGCAACGTCCATAGTTACTCCTCTTGACCTGCCAAAACAGACAACTTATCATCCTCACAAGAATGAGGTTCACATTCATTATACGTCAAATAAAAATGAAACGATAACATTCACAGGGTAGTAAACCATTTCAAGACAAACAAGTTCTCCTTCCGCCTTCTCTCCTCCCAATGCAATTTTATACCCACTGCAGGTCAATCTCCTGAAAAATTACTTAACTTTTAGATGGGATCTTTAATGTGCGCAACTTGCACATGAGCTCTCCGAGATTTTGTTCCCGCTCTGTCATCTGATTCTGTATCATACCTTTCTTCCTCCGTCTCATCCAGGACCCAGGCAAAAGCGAAGGAGCTCTTCCCCAGCTTCTTGGACTCCTGCTCGTACTTGTGCATAGTCTTCTTGTTGACGCTGCCCAGCTGGTACAGCAGGTGGCCCATCAGCGTGCTCTTGCCCGCGTCCACGTGGCCTGAAATAAAAATTAGAATTGTTTTACAAACGAATGACAACGACAAAGACAATCTTTATTCATCTCGCAGCAGGGAGAAATTTGTCTTGGTCCTTAACAATGGTAGTAGACGTCACAAAGGTTAGGTGCACTCACGCATACGCAAAACAAGACAGGACAGTAAATACATGTCTCACGTGCTGAAACACGACTTCGATTATTTACGAGGCTAGGTGGTTCTGATTCAGCCCCGCCTCACATTGAAAACTGGAGCTGAGTGTGGTATACAACATTCAAGTAGACATAAACACTTCATTATTACTTTCCCTGACTGTCTTCTGTGTGCAGCAGCAAAAAATCAAAACCACTGCATCAGAGACGGTTGTTTTAACAGGTGGACATCATAGATAGTGTCATTTTAACATGGAAAAAAAGAACTCTTTAAGTAAAAGTTTTACAGCACTTGCAACACAGTAAGGTCATATAATAGCCGAAGATTAGAGGTGTTGCAAGAGAGTAATAAACACAGAAAAGGAGGGGAAATAACGACGATAGATGTTTGAAAGGAATGAAGGAGCAAACCACACCAGAGCACCCACAAACCACACACACATACACACACAAAAAAACCCAAGAAACCAAGACTAATGTCTACAACATCTACACACACGTAAAAACGTACCGATGACAACTAGGTTCAGCAGTTCCTTTTCACCATGTCTTTTTGCATACTCTGCCATCACATCGAGTTTGGAATTTTTCGATCTGTCAAATTTAAATAACGTCATCTTATATACAAATCTCCATAAAATAGTCAAGGCCATAAAACACAACTGGAATTTTAAAAGCTATCTTAATCAAATATACCACTCAAAAATATATAAAATTCTGTAAAATTAAAATCATAATTCATGCCATCACCTATAACAAAAATGACAAAGTACTTGCATTGCCCTATAGGCCAGAACCCTCTCTCCATAACAGAAAATAAACTAGTCCACTACTTTAAAACTTGCTTGGAACAACAGTCAACAGAGAGGGAGGGAGGGAGAGACAGAGAGAATACACAACTCACTTTGGTTTTGGTGTTAATTGACTAGGTTTCATCGACTCCACAGAGGCCTGGATCACGTCCTTATCTCCCTCCAGTCCCATGAACTCTACGGCGTTCCTCAGGCTGGAATCGACCCCGGCACCTTTGACCTCCGCCTCCTGGACACCCGCACCCTTTCCAAGGTCAGACCGGGCCGCGTCTGGAGGCTCAGGCGACTTAGAGCTCACTCGAGACGAAACAGTCTTTGTCTTAGTGGAGTCCATTTCAGAACCAGGGGACGATGGCACGAGGGGGGTACTTTGCATTTTCAATTTGAGGCCGGGTTTCTTAGAAGTAGCAGGTGAGGAAGGCGGGGTTTCTTTAGGAGTCTCGAATCCCACGGTGGCCTTGGCTGTGGACTTGGATGGGGTGACAACCGCGCTTTTACCCACCGGGGGAACCCGCCCAGGCACGGTAGCTGAGGCCACAGGGGCAGCTGGTGCTGCAACTCCATTGCTGGGGCAGTCTGTCTCTGCTGCTGCGACAGCTGGGGATGCTAGAGAAAGATTTCCAGTTAAGAATTGATGTATGCTCAACGCGCAAAAACTGTCCCGCGGTTGCCGGCCAAGTGTAGAAGAAATTTTTTTGTTTAAACTTTTCGAGCAAACTACACCAGAGCATCCGCCTGCCACCCGTAGAAGAAGATTACCTAAAGTCAACAGATCACTCATAGCAAACAACAAAACCAACCGCCTTTTAGGACAAAATGTGAACTGTTACCACCTTTTTCTACAGAAAAACAATTAGTTTATTTCTCAGGAATAGAAGAGAAGAGAACTTCTTTCTTCAGAAATAAGCAAACTCACCTTTGGTCATAAAAAGACATTTCTGAAAATATCTTCTCAAGAAACATGATTGCAGAGCAGCAATATGATAAACATTGTAACTGATTATGGCACCACAAAGTCATTGAGCAATTCATTACCTTGGGGAGGTTCTTGTCTGCTTGAGATGACATCCACGGGTTAAACCATCTCACAATCTCAGCAAATAACGCAAGTCACCACAGACCATGATCAACAACCAAGCCACATCAACTGATGGCACCCAACCATCATCAACATACCTTAAAACAGAATTCATCAATCACCTACAGGAACTGATATTTTGAACCACCAATCTTTGATTATATTGATATGACAAAAGACAACTAATCTCGAACAGCCTGCCAAAAGATACTACAATATCAATGACACATCTATACTACTATATCACAAGGTTCCAACTATCTTCAAAAGTCTTTTTCTTTGGGTGTTAGCAATTTTTTGGCGTGCTGATGTCTTTAACAAAGACATTCAATCGTTCACGGGGCCAAATACTCAAATTACACTCAGGGTTGTGGGCCAAACTGGATAAACACTCATCAGGCCTTAGAAAACATGGACTTTTTAAAATATTGATACGAATTAAAGCAGACAAAAGTTAAAATAATGCCAAATCAAGACACACCGATTTTTGCTCTTATGCCAATTTGTCAAAGCTGCATGTTTGGCATCTTTTCTTGACAACAAGTTTGTGTATGATTTGGAGTAAGGATCTGTGTTATGGAAATTCTCAGGATAGACAACCTAAAATTCTCTTGCAGGCCGGATGCAGCCCATGGGTCTTGACTTTGACACCTTAGTCTTTCTGTGAAATATCTTTTAATTCTTTGAAAGTTGAAGTCACAGACTCTGAAGATGTTTTCAGAGTGAGACTGATGACAATTGACCTCACATGCACATTCTAATAAGGACAATACCAACTGGAACTCTGAAAATGCAGTAGGAGTAGCAGAAGGACAAAATCAGACAATAAATGAGAGAGAGAGAGAGAGAGAGAGAGAGAGAGAGAGAGAGAGAGAGAGAGAGAGATGGAGGGGAGGAGAGGAGAGAGAGAGTGAGAGAGAGAGTAGAGAGAGGAGGAGGGAGGGAGGGAGAAGGGATGCGAGACAGACAGACAGACAGAGAGGGGGGGGGGGGGTTGCAGGCGAGAAATATTCCTCATACGAGTATTAGTACTGTAAAATTCCAATGTTGCCGAAAGAAACCCAACCCATCCTTCAAATATGTTATAAAATGACAGATTTATTTTGAGTGAAACATTTATTGTAACAAACGTTAACAGTGTATTCATAGCATAAATCAACAATCAAATATACAAACAAACTTACTACAAAAATAAAAATATGACAAAGCCCCAGACTTTAAACACTATACTTTATCAAAATACAGCTGCCAGAGAGAGAAACGGAAGGGAACACTTGTCAAACAAGCCGAAATTCTCCCTAAAACTCCCTTGTAAAGAAAGCAAAGTACAAAAATTTACAAATGGTATTCAACTGAGAAACGTATAGAAAAAAAATCAAACGAGACCACAAACAAGAATAAACCGCAATATGATTTTTCAGTGTTGCCACTAGACTACGCAACATTCAAAGATACTCTTACACAGAAAACCAAAACAACTAATTTCAGTATTTTCTGAAAAGATCTGAACCCCTTTACAACTTCAGGACAACAAAACAAAACATAATAGCTATTCCTCCACCATTGTACTAATGTGTGAAAACTATTGATGTAGCCTGCTCACTTAAAAGAAACTGTTTACTAGAATGCTATTTAAAGAAAGCAAAGCGGTTGAAGTGATAACCCTGAAAACAATATTTGCAGGAAAAGGACAAGAAAAAAATTAACCCGCAAAATAAACATAATAAAAAAGGAAGAAAAAAAGCAAGAGACCCCCCCCCCCCCAAAAAAAAAACAGTGCCAAAACCGTTTGCCAGCATGCACATTTTCATGCTACAGAAATCTTAACGTAATTTGGAAATTCCCAGAAATCCTATACATGTCAAGCAGAACAAAGTACAAAAACCTAACAGAGCTTCACTAACAAACTTGTGGAGAAAAAAAAAAACCCATAACAATTTGTAACTGGGCATATGTACTTTCTGTATTTCTTTGTAAGACTTGCTGTACTTGCCTTGCACTGAAGGCATATATACCATATATTTCTAAATAGTAGAAAAAGTATATTTAAAAATCCTCAGAGGAATAAACACCATCCCTGAGGCTGTCAAGATCCACTATAAGGGCGAATAAATCATACTTGGAACTCTTTATCAGGGCGCGTAAAAGCTTGCTTCTGTTTCTTCTTAACAATATCATCGGGGGACGGGGTGGAAAAATCAAACCGAGTGACATGATTCAGCTGACATTCTTGATACACCACCCTCCCCCCCACTTGTGACAAACACATAAGCCGTGGGTACTTGGGTTTTCTGCTTGGGAATGTAGGGTCGACTGAACGACTTCTTTTCCTGCGTATTTCTCCCAAGACCAAGCCCAGGGCTGATGACTTAGCTATCAAAGTTGGGTCTGCATTTTGTAGCGAAACCAACATGACTTGAGAATCTTCCACAGGTACTAATGGTTCTTTCTCCTCTTCCTCAATAGAAAAACTATTCTTTAATAATTCTTTGGCGGTAAAATGTGGAGCCTGCTTTATTTTACTCCCCGGCACAGCGGTTTTCAAACAGGAAGCAAGAGACACACCAGAAGAAGCTTTGCCTCTCTCCACATTCCCTGCCACCGATGGGGTATCGTGGAGACTGATGTTTTTTATTTGAGTTGAAACATCCGCACTAAGGTCTTTGCCTAGTCTTGGAATAATTTTGCCGGATGTATCTTTGTTCCTTTCTAAATTTGAACTAGATGAACCAACAGTCATGGACCTGTATTGCTGTGCAAGCTGAGAAAGCGATGTACCCAAATTTGGGCTCTGGGAACCCATTTTAGCCGGTAGTTGCTCAGAGGAAGCATCTTGGTTACCACCACAACCTTTTCCACGCCCTATTAGATCCATCAGACTCGGTTTATTTCCACTGTCCTTCACTGGCAATGGTGCAGTTGCTGCTTTGTGTCCCTTTCCCTCACTGCTGAAATTTAAGTTCACAGAACTACCAAGACCCGTTCCACTGCTGCTTTTCTTCGCTGAATGCTGTGCTACCAAAGCTGACAATGTTGATGTACCCTCCGGTGAGGGATGTACCACTGCAGGTACATTTTGTTGTGGAACTGCCATGGGTTTTGACACCTTTTTATGTTGCCTCGCCAGCTCTGCCAATGATAAAGAACTTGCCTTTACCATCGAAGTGTTACGTCCAGAGTTCTGTGCAGATAAATCTGCCAAAGATATCCCGGACTGCTGAGGTTTTACAGACTGCTTCTGCGATGTGCTTACACTTTCAGACACACTGGTGGGCAGAAGTGACTGTTTTTCACAGCCACTACTGCTCATAAACTTCATTTCCCTACCATGCACTATACTTTGATTTGGTCTCAGTCTTTCATTAATTTGATTTTCTTTGCCTTCACTTTTGATTGCAGAACCGGAATCAGATATTTGATTTTTCTCAGTTCCAGTACCCTTTGTTTCAGTTTGATAGTCCATCCCATAGGTAAATCTCATCCGAGAAAATGGATACAAAACATTGTCATGCACCGTTTCCTCTACATTTTTTATCTCTGTTAATAAATTATCAAGATCATTGCTATCAATATCATCTTACCTTCCAACAGCCATGATGCAGGTATTCAAACAGGCAAAGTGGCGAAAGGAAGTCCATCACAAGGAGACACCATGGCATGCAATTGGAAAAAAGGGTGGGGTGGGGGGTGTACAGGCAACACATGAGTCGTGAACAAAGGCAAAACCGTCACTATTCCAAACAGTTTTCAGTTCAAGCTATTGTTCAGAGAAAGTATAATCATGATCACGTGGAGGATGAAAAAAATATTATTCATGCACAGCTTCATCAAATTTCTTTTTCCACTTCCATCATTTTACAAAAGAATCTCTTCAACAAAGTCTCAATAAAACAATTTGTCAAACCCAGGTGAGCAGGTTTCCTTGAACATTCCGCCCAAGTAAGTCCATGCAATACATAAGTACTTTTACCTACGGTAAAAATGTGAAATAATATGTTTAATGCCCATATCCACACTATTACATTATTTAAGAGGCCTCCCGAGTTCAACATCCATCTCCAAGAGAACCGGGCCAAACGGGTAATTCATGTAACATGCCTTTCCCAAGGACACAATGTCAGGCCGAGCCTTTACCTCTGGTCACATTTCGCAAGACTATTTTCCCCCTCTACAATATCTTTTGACCAGTTGCAGCTTCTTTCTGTGCCCAAGGCACTAAGAAGGAAAATTTTGGCTCAACACTAGGCATGGAGAACTCAAAGCTCTATGGGAGACTGGGGGACCGGCAGCTTTCTGTGCCCAAGGCACTAAGAAGGAAAATTTTGGCTCAACACTAGGCATGGAGAACTCAAAGCTCTATGGGAGACTGGGGGACCTGCAGCAAACAGCAGTCTTCGCACTACAGACTGGAATGTCCATTAGGGATGAACTAGAAGAAGACTAAGCCATCAAAGAAATTTATTCTTCTGTCACTGATCATACTTACGGCTTTACTATCAAAATAAAAATAATCTAAAAACGTATGTGTATACAAACATCTATTCACCACAAAATAGATTTTGTGTCCATTTCTTTTCAGTAGTCAACAAACTTTTTTTTACTATCATCCGTTTCTTAAAAACTGAACATATCTCATCCCCTACATTTTGCATAATCAATCAAGAAAGCGAGAGCTTCAATAGTCACCTTGAGATCGAAGGCGTCTCTGCCTTGGCTCTCGCTGGGGCTTGGGGGCATCTGAAACAGTCAAATTTCAAGAAAATATTTTTTATTTTTTTTTAAGGAAAAAAAAAAGGAAAACTGGAAATCTATGACACCTGAACATCATTGACTTTAAAATACTATAATCCAAATTTTTGAGTTTACATCTAGAGTGAAAGTAGTGTAAGACAAGGTGAACATAAAAAAAAAGCTCCCATTCCTCACTTTTAAGTTCTTTTCACTTCTGAAGGCATTCTGTTCAGATCAAAATGCCAAAGCACATTGAATAAACAAGAGAGATCCACTGGATTGAGCAATGACAAAGTTGTGAAAACTAACATATTAATATTTTGGATTAAAACTTCACTATCCAGACAGCATTTCTGGCAGGGGCTACAACAAAAAAGTATTCTGAAAACAAATTGAATGAATGTAGAGAGAACAACCAGCATAAACCTAAATTTAGTTACATAGTGCATTTTTCCACAGCGACAGAATAAACTCAACTGCTGGAGTAAAAGGACCTACATATTGTTGAAGTGGCTAGAAAAATTATTTACTCTGTTTGATTCACTGACAGTGTAAAGCAAGCTCAAAAGAAATTATTCCTTAATTTCAACCACCGCATCTGTATGGATTTGTCTTTTTTCTGTCAACTATAAATAATCCAAAACTTGTTCACCAATGTTATCATGCAAGCAGCAGTAGAGAAGATTAAAGAACTTCGAGATGATACAAGTATTACATATATCAAAGTTCGGGCAAACCTTGTGGTGTGAGCAGTTGATTAAGTGACGTCTCCAGGTTAAACTGGTTTTGAATGATGACTGTTGACATAACAGACTCAGGCACAGACTCTCCGAGGATATTGCGAATTTCTTCTAGGCAACTGTTCAAGCGAGCTGAAGAAAAAGGTAAAGTAGAAAATCATTCATTCCAAAGAACGCTCACCTCATGACAAATTCACCTAAGAAAACTAAGCTCAACCCTAGGCATGGAGAGATGGAGTAATTAATAATTATAATAGAACATTTTTTAAACTAAGCCAACATCAAGAGGTCTTTCACATCAGAATATTACAAGAAGGGGACTTTCATAGCATAAACTCCTTAATGACTGAGGTCAAATAGAATCCATCACACACCATTCTCATCCATTACATTGACACCAAAAAAAACAGGCTGAGTATAAGTATACCTCTGGGGGGAAAAAACTTCATCAGAGCAAAAGGGAAGCCATTTCACTATTATACAAGCATCATTTTCAAGGGGGAAAAAACAAATAAAATAACAAAGAACTAGATGAATTTAAAAAATTATTATCTCTTTATTTATTCCGACAATACAAATATGAAACCTAGCTCAGGCATAGACCTGCATGTGAGCCTCAACCAGATTGTCTGAAAATTTTGCGCAACTCCCCCCCCC